TTATATCCTGCCAAATCAACATGCTGTAAGTTGCTTAGTACTTGCCCTATTATTGAACATTGTTTAGAATTGATGGCTTGATATTCACTGATCATACATTTAATTTTTTGGTGAATTGTTTCCTTGGAGTAGATTGTTTTAGATAGTAATTGAATCAAAGGATATAAGCCTCTGTGTTGCTCTTGGTGCATTCAACATACTGTCTTCTAGCAGCAGGATGTGAGCTTACTAATTTCTCCACAACTGCACCAGCACTAGGTAGATCAGTCATCCCTGATCCCGTCCCCTCTTGTGGCCTTTGGGGCTCTGTTTTATTAATTATCTTTGTGGCATATTCCATCCTGTTGTTTGATGCATACCTTACTCTCACTGTGTTCAAACCCAGGCTCATCATTTTCCTCTCCACACCAAGCATTTGGCTTGACTTCTGTCATTTCAGTTTTTGGTTTCCTCATTTTACCTAGGTATCCAGATTCTACAGTGTGTGTTTTTTGTTGTTGTTGTTGTTGTTTTTCACTTTTCTGTTTTTCAAGATTTTTAGAGTTTTAAATCTTTGAAATGTTTTTCAGATCTGTCTTTGTTTCCATTCTTACCAACATTCTCTAATTTAGCCTCTCATTATCTCTTACTGGCATTATTTCAGTAATCTAACCAATCTTCATGCTTCTTGCCTTTAATGCCAGATAATGTGTTACACCCTGCTAACAAATGCCTTTTTATAAATCATTACTTCCATCATGCCATGCTGTGCCCTTAAACTTCAGTGTCTGTTGAATTAAGTACAGTGTCCTTGACCCTTGACCTGACACCTAAAGTCCTTAGGCTATGCTTTTCAAACTGAGTTTCCCAACCCATTCAGTAGGTCCTAAAATCAGTTTAGTAGGTTGCTACCAAAAAATGGGAAAGGAGAAAATGTCAGAGTATGTGACACCTATTTATATTTTGTGAAAGTTGTTTCTATGTGTGCATGTGTCTGTGTGTCTATGTAAAACATTCCTATCATAGGGCACTGTCAAATAAGTTTGAAAACCTTGTTATACAGGATATCCTTAATTATCTTTAGCTGTTTGTACTCTTCCAATTTTTCTTCTAGCTGGAGCAGACCACTCCTGTCACAGAATGCTGGGTGCGTCCCAGCTTTATTCAAGGTTCATTTCATTCATTTCACATGCCATCTCCTCCCAGAAGCTCTCTCTCACTGCCTCAGCCGAACCCCAAACTCGAGACACAGAAAACCTGGATATAATTTTCCTTTTTCTATACCCCATAGCATTTTGTTTTTCTTATGGCACATTTCACATCACACATTTTCCCTGTCATTTTTAATAGATTACAGATCCCTTGTAGGCATAGGCTTTATCTTGTACATCTTTTCATCCTCATTTTAGTATAATATTTTTTACTTAGAAGATACTTTTTAAAAGGTTTTTATTGAAATGTAGGACTTCATTAAAAATGAGTATACATTAAAACAATACGACTTTGTTTTAAAAAGTAGTATCTCTTGTAGAAATTTTGGGAACTACCGATAAGTAAAATGAAGAAATGATAATGGCAAAAATAAATATTTGAGGGTTTGCTATGTATATGCCAGGCACTGTGTTAAGTACTTAAAATGTATGATCTCATTTGATTATTAACAACTAACTATGAAGTTGGTGGATATCATTATCATCCCCAATTTTCAGTTGTAGTGGGAGAAAAATGACCCTAATCTCATTCACCTAGAGAAAACAGCTAGGGTACTGATATTTTGGTGTGGTCTTACTTTTCTATGGATATATACTTTTTCCCTCATCAATGCAGAAACTGTTAGATGGACCACTTTTTCAGTTAAACGCAAATGGTGAGCATTTCAGGACATTGATTTTTTATTTTTTGTTTTTTATTTTTTTGAGATAGAGTCTCACTCTGTCGCCCAGGGTGGAGTGCAGTGGCGAAATCTCAGCGCACTGCAACCTTTGCCCTTCAGGTTCAAGCCATCCCTGTGCCTCAGCCTCTCGAGTAGCTGGGATTACAGGCATGTGCCACCATCCCCAGCTAGTTTGTGTATTTTTAGTAGAGGGTCACCATGTTGGCCAGGCTGGTCTCGAACTCCCGACCTCAGGTGATCTGCTCACCTCTGCCTCCCAAAGTGCTGAGATTACAGGCGTGAGCCACTGTGCCTGGGACATTAATTCTTATACATGGAATAATTCAGTTTATAGGTAAATTGCCTCCAATTACTTATACTAAGAAAAAAATTTTTTTTAATGTACCAGTTTGGCCTGGTGCGGTGGGTCACGCCTCTAATCCCAGCACTTTGGGAGGCCGAGGCAGGTGGATCGCCTAAGAGCAGGAGTTCAAGACCAGCCTGGCCAACATGGTGAAACCCTGTCTCTACTAAAAATACAAAAATTAGCCAGGAGTGGTGGCAGGCACCTGTAATCCCAGCTACTTGGGAGACTGAGGCAGGAGAATTGCTTGAACCTGGGAGGCGAGGTTGCAGTGAGCTGAGATCACACCACTGTACTCTAGCCTGGGAGATAAGATCGAGAACTTTGTCTCAAGAAGAAGGAAAAAAAAGTACTAGTTTGATAAAACCTGGATTTGCTTACTAGCGAGATTGTACTTTTTTTCATGTTTGTTGGTCATATGTCTATCATATTGGTTGCATTTTCTGTTTTTCCTTTACCTTTTTATTTTGTTACAGTGTTTTTTTTTTTTCTGAGATCTTTTATCAAATCACATCTATGAATCTTTTCCATTTTTCCTCTTTTTTAATGTCAATTTCAGAAGGGCTTCTTATTCAAAGATAATCATATTCATCAAGATTTCTAAAAATACATAATGGCTTATTTTTATTCAAAAGTAAAACAGTATTATTCCATGATTATTTACTCAGTATAAAATAATTTCGATAAAAGGAAATTTTAAACAATAAAGTAAAATCTTTCATAATCCCATGTGCACACAGTTATAATTTAAAGTTTTGGTGTATGTTCTTCCAGAATTTTTTCTTTGCACACACTACAATTTTGGAATCATGAAGATATTATTTTATAGCTCTATATCAGCATTTTCAGTGACTTAGTTTTCAGTTTTTGAATTTACTATATATTTAACCTGTATCCTATTGTTTGACATTTAAATTGATGTCCAGTTTTGTGTTGTGATAAATCTACAATGAACACTTTTCATAGATACTTCGCTACCTCATTTATCTTTTGGAGATAAATTCCTAAAAGTGAGATTCTGGAACTTAATAGTAGTATATTTCTAATTTTGACCTACTCACCTTATTACTTAAACTAGAAACTTAGATTGTAGTGTCCATCTTCTTCCTCACCTGCCACATTCTTTCAACCTTTCATCAAATGCTACCTCCAAATTATTTCTCAAATATACTTCTCTCTATGTATACTGCTTTCACCCTAATCCAAAGCATAATCTTATTTGACCTGGGGTTATAGTAGCTATTAAAGGATCTTTCTACCTGTCTTACCTCACTCCATTGCATTTCCACACAGCATGAAAAGGGATCCTTTACAAACATAAGTCTCACACAATCAAATCTAACCTAGCAGTCCTCCTTCACTGCTTTCTGTTTTATTCAGAATAATGTGCAGACTGTTCTTATGGCTTACAAGGTCCTCCAGGATCAGGTCTCTACTGGCTTTTCCAAAGTCATCTTGGACCATCTTCCCCCTCACTATCTTACCATACTGGCTTATTTTTTTCTTCAAATTCTCCCGGCCCTTCCTTCCTGCAAGGCCTTTAAACATACTGTTCTTTCTACCTGGAAAGCTCTCACTTCCCCTTTTTACTTAGCCAATTCCTACCTATCACACAAGGTTCAATTTAAGTGTCACCACTTTAAAGAGCTTTACTAATCTAGAAAAGAAGCACAGAATCTTTTCGGTTCGGTTCACCATGGTGTACCCAGCTCCTAGAAGTTAGATGCTCAGTGAGTATTTGTAGAGTACTACGTTGATGTTGCCACATTACTCCTTAGATAAACAGAACCATTTATATTCTCATCAAAAATATGACTTTGGGGTGATTTTTTTTTACACTAAATTTGTTTATTTTGGTATATGGTGCAAGATGACAGCGATTTAACCTGATTTTTCCCAGTTAGCCATTTGTCCTATAACCTACCATTATTCTGTAATTCAGCATTTTCTCACTTTTTAAAAGTATCATCCTTACAATAAATTCTTATATCTCAAGTCTCTTTCTGGACTTTGTTTTCTGGTACATTGTTCTGTCAATCTAGGTGCCATGATTTTATTTATTTTGCCTTATATAATTGATAGGCAAATCTTTCTTCATCAGACTAACTTTTTGTTTTGCTTCCATCCTGAATTCTCCCAGATGAAGTCTTTACTATCTTTATAAGTTCAAAAGAACAACATCCTATTGGAATTTCTATTGAAATGTTAATTGAACTTACAAAGTAACCTGTAGCCTTCCTATTTACAAACCATACTTTGTGTCACTTTCAAGATTTTATAATTTTCTTAGTGTTGGTCCTAATCACTTCTTAGTGTTATTCTTCTAATTAGGTTTTCTTGCTGTTGTGAGCAAATTATTTTTCTAGTTATGTCTTCTACCTGTTAATTGCTAATACAGAGAAAAGCTATTTATTTTAGTTTTTATATTTTTTATTTATTTTGTATTTTTAGTCATTTTTTGAATTTTTGAATTTTTAAGATAGACTAATAACAACAACTTGTCACAGAGCACTTTTTACTATGTTTGTTCCAGGATAGAAATATCCTTTGAAAGCCCTGATATTGTTTGTCAGTATGTTTGGGTTAATTATAAATACTTCCTTGCTTGCATTGTATATATTAAGATTATATAATTGAGTGAAAATGGAAATGTAGTCAACAGCATAAGATGGCCTCAGAAAATTACGGTCAGAATTTTTCGTCTTAAACTTTTCACAAAGGAATATTATAAACCAGGATTAGCAGAATAATCAAAGTCCTAAAATGTTGTTTCTCTCTTTTCAGGAAGTGGTTCTGAAAGATGGAAGAATTGAAAGACTAAAGTTAGAGCTAGAAAGGAAAGACGCTGAAATCCAGAAGCTGAAAAATGTAATTACTCAGTGGGAGGTTTGTGTCCATTTACTGTTGCTAAAGAAAATAATTCTATACATTTTCACATTTTGTTTTTCTTATATGTAAATATGTTTAATATGCAATTCATGGGAATAGTCATTCTATTTTTTATGTTCTTAAACTCTTTGATTAATGGTTTAAAATCTGAATGATTGATTATTTATTTATTTATTTATTTATTGTTGTTGTTGTTGTTTTTTGAGTCTCATTCTGTTGCCCAGGCTGGAGTGCAATGGCATGATCTCAGCTCAGTACAACTTCTGCCTTGGTTCAAGCAATTCTCCTGCCTCAGGCTCCTGAGTAGCTAGGATTATAGGCATGAACCACCATACCTGGCTAATTTTTGTGTTTTTAGTAGAGACAGGGTTTCACCGTGTTGGCCAGTCTATCCACGAACTCCTGGCCTCAAGAGATCCGCCCACCCCAGCTTCCTAAAGTGCTGGGATTACAGGCATGAGCCACCATGCCTGGTCATATTTTGTTTTTTAAAAATCAACTTTATTGTGGTATAGTTTACACATAGTATAAAATGTATTTTTGTTGTTGTAAAATACATATAACCATTTAAACTGTATAATTCAGTGGGGCATTAAGTATCTTTACACAGCATTGTGTAATCACCACTGTCTATTTCCAGAACTTTTTCATCATCCCAGGCAGAAACTCTTACCCACAGAGAACTCCCCATTCTCATTTTCCACACCCCGGTAACCTCTAATTTCTATGAATTTGCCCATTCTAGGTACCTCATGTAAGTGGAATCATACAGTGTTTATCCTCTTATGTGTGGCATATTCACTTAGCATAATGTGTTTTTTTGTTTGTTTGTTTTGTGAGACAGTCTTGCTCTGCTGCCCAGGCTGGAGTACAGTGGCACAATCTTGGCTCACCACAACCTCCGCCTCCCAGGTTCAAGCAATTCTCCTGCCTCAGCCTCCCAAGTAGCTGGGACTACAGACATGCACCACCATGCCTGGCTAATTTTTGCATTTTCAGTAGAGACGGGGTTTCACTATGTTGACCAGGCTGGTCTCAAACTCCTGACCTCGTGATCCGCTCGCCTCGACCTCTCAAGGTGTTGGGATTACAGGTGTGAGCCACCGTACCTGGCCTAGCATAATGTTTTTAAGGTTCATCCACGTTGTAGCATGTGTCAGAATTTCATCCCTTATTATAGCTGAATAATTTTTCATTGTGTGTATATATTTTGTTTACTGGTGCATAAGTATCTGAGTCCTTGCTTTCAGTTCTTTTGGGTATGTACACACCTAAGAGTGGAATTGCTGGACTATGTAATTCCACATTTAACTTTTCGAGGAACTGCCAAACTTTTCCATGGCACCCACGTCATTTTACCTTCCCACCAGGAGTGAACGATGGTTCCAGTTTCTCCACATCCTTTCCAGCACTTGTGATGTATACAATGTATTTTTAACTACAAATCCTTACCTCATTCCCGCTTAGGGG